TCTACACATCCATATATGAATATTATACAAAAATGGAAATAAAACATAAGCAATCGCCCAAATTGTAACAGGAGTTTGTTCCATTACATTGAGGTTACAGTTATGCTTCACTCTTTCTTTACCAACCCTCAGCAGCCTATGCATTTTTTAAGGATTTTGCTAAGCCCATTGACACAGTAGACCATGACATTCTACTACACAAACTCAAAAACTCAGGTATTGGTGATCATTCGCTAACCTGGTTTCAATCATATGTATCGAATTGCTCGCAATATGTGTCCATTTCCTGAACACTGACAAAACTGTCACAATGATCTTTGGAACAGTACTTAAATTACACAAATTACACAATTCCCACCTATCCATCAAAACAAATTCAAATGGCACACTGACCGCAGTCCACTCTTTCAAATACTTGGGTATGATGTTAGACCCCAATCTATCTTTTGGCCTCCACATAGAAAAGCTTGCATCTAAACTTTATCCAAAACTAGGTGCCCTGTACAGAAACAAATTCTGCCTAAGCCCTACAGTAAAGGAAAAGCTTGTACAGCAAATGCTGATGCCAATCATTGATTATGGGGATGTAGTACAGTCAGGTCCATAAATATTGGGACATCAACACAATGCTAATCTTTTTGGCTCTATACACCAACACAATTGGTTTGAAGTGAATTGCTTTAACTGCAGACTTTCAGCTTTAATTTTAGGGTATTTACATCCAAATCAGGTGAACGGTGTAGGAATTACAACAGTTTGTATATGTGCCTCCCACTTTTCAAGGGACCAAAAGTAATGGGACAATTGGCTGCTCAGCTGTTCCATGGCCAGGTGTGTGTTATTCCCTTATTATCCCATTTACAAGGAGCAGATAAAAGGTCAAGAGTTCATTTCAAGTGTGCTCAGGGCCGGTGCAAGGATTTTTGCCGCCCTAGGCAAAAGTAAAGTTTGCCGCCCCCCCCCCCATATGACATCACAATGCCCCATGTTAACTAACGCAAGTGCTGCAGTGCCGCCGTGTTTACATTAAAAGGCCTGCAGGGACAGGCTATAGACACCAGAACCACTACATTAAGCTGCAGTGGTTCTGGGGACTAAAGTGTCCCTTTAATGTGAGGTAAATTAGAGATTAGTGCCACGAATAATATACTAGATTGCCTACTTACAATCAGATGAGGATGGTGATGGGCTCTAGCTGCAGTCTGGCTCCACTAGTCTGGTGTAGAACAGGCTCTCTGGAGGCTGTTTGTGTTCTGGGAGAACGGGAAGCAGCTCCATTTTTTGGGGGCCCTTTACACAGCTCAAGGTCTGGGCCCCAGGGTCCACCTTCATGTTCCACCAATTAGTTTGTTCACAGGAGTAGGGGATGTCCTGATATGTGTGTAAGGAATGCATTGTGTGAATCTGTGTTTGTATGTGTAAGGGCTGCAATGTGTGTTTCTATGTATGTACGGGATGCAGTGTGTGCGTCTGTAAGGGGTGCATTGAGTGTGTGTAAGGGGTGCATTGAGTGTGTGTAAGGAATGCATTGTGTGTTTCTGTGTGAGTAAGGGATGCATTGTGTGTAAGGGTTGAATTGCTTGTGTGTGTGTCTGTAATGCATTGTGTGTTTTTCTGTGTACAAGGGGTGCATTGTGTGTGTGTGATGGATGTCAATCTCTCCCCCCTCCCTTGTCACTCTCTTCTCCCCCTCTCCCTCCCTCGTCACTCTCTTCTCTCCCCCTTGTCTCTCTCTTCTCCCCCCCTTGTCCCTCTCTTCTCCCCCCTCTTGTCCCTCTCTTCTCCCCCCTCCCTTGTCACTCTCTTCTCCCCTGCGTGTCCCTCTCTTCTCCCCCCTCCCTTGTCACTCTCGTCTCCCCCGTTGTAACTCTCTTCTCCCCTCCCCACTCTCATTCCCCCTCCTAACCCCGTCAATTCCCCTCCCTGTCAATTTCTCCCCCCACCTTGTCAATTTATTCCCCCACCCTGCCTGTCCATTTTTATCCCCCCCTCCTGTCCATTTATTCCCCCACCCTGTCCATTTATTCCCCCACCTCCCTGTCCATTTATTCCCCCACCCGTCCATTTATTCCCCCCCTCCTGTCCATTATTTCCCCTCCTGTCCATGTATTTTCCCCCCTCCTGTCCATGTATCCTGTCCATGTATTTCCCCTCCCCTGTCCATGTATTCCTCCCTGTCCATGTATTTCCCCCACTCCCCTCCACTGTCCATTTATTTCCCCTTCCTGTCCATTTATCCCTCCCCATTTTCCTCCCTGTCCATTTATTCCCCCTCCTGTCCATTTGTTCCTGTCAGACTTTATCTCCCCTCCTCCCTGTCAGCCATTTTATTCCCCCCTCCCTGTCCATTTTTTCCCTCCTGTCCATTTATCTCCCCTCCCCTCCTGTCCATTTATTCCCCCCTCCCTCCTGTCCATTTATTCCCCCTGTCCATTTATTCCCCCCACCCTCCCTACCTCTATTGTAGCGTGGCCGAGCCCTGTATGATCCGCGGGTACAGGTTGCTTTTGTTTCTGTACCCAGCCGGACTAAAAGGAAGTGAACACTCAGTGTTCACTTCCTTTTAGTCCGGCCGGGTACAGGAGACAGATGCTCCCTGTACCCACGGATCATACAGGGCTCGGCCACGCTACAGGGAGGGAGTGACAGCCCCTCTCCTCATGCTGCGTCCGGGCGGTGCGCACTCATGGACGCACCAGCCCGGGCAAAGCTGCAGCCGCCTGAGGCGCTCTACAGAGCGCTCGGGCGGCTGCAGCATGGGGGGGCCGGCGCTCCTGGCGGAGCCCCTTCCCAAGGGGCGCCCTAGTCGGCTGCCTAGTCCACCTTACAGGTAGCGCCGACCCTGAGTGTGCTATTTGCATTTGGAATCTGTTGCTGTCAACTCTCAATATGAGATCCAAAGAGCTGTCACTATCAGTAAAGCAAGTCATCATTAGGCTGAAAAAAACAAAACAAACCCATCAGAGAGATAGCAAAAACATTAGGTGTGGCCAAATCAACTGTTTGGAACATCCTTAAAAAAAAAAAGGAACGCACTGGTGAGCTCAGCAACACCAAAAGACCAGGAAGACCACGGAAAACAAATGTGGTGGATGACCGAAGAATTCTTTCCCTGGTGAAGAAACCACCATTCACAACAGTTGGTTAGATCAAGAACACTCTCCAGGAGGTAGGTGTATGTGTGTCAAAGTCAACAATCAAGAGAAGACTTCACCAGAGTGAATACAGAGGGTTCACCACAAGATGTGAACCATTGGTGAGCCTCAAAAACAGGAAGGCCAGATTAGAGTTTGCCAAACAACATCTAAAAAAGCCTTCACAGTTCTGGAACAACTTTTTTTCCTGATCCTTAGTCAACAGTTGCCACTCAAGATGGCAGACATTAGAAACTCATGGCTCAAGACTTGGTGGAATGCTAGAGTTTGTTGTAAAAATAACCAGTGTAAAAATTGCCATTAACTAGGTTTTTATAGCAGTACAGTGTGCAATCTCCTTATTCAAGCCATCTAACAATTTCACTCAAAGATGGATTTCAAACAGCATTATGTCTTGTAGGCCTAAAGTGCTTCACATGGGTCTTTATGAACCAGAGCAGTAAAACGATTTGCTTAATTCTTTTCAAGGATAATTTTGTCAGAGTGAAGGAGTTATGCTAGTGCCTCATTAGAGTTTTCATGTAACAGAGTTTTCAGTAGGACTGGAATAGAAAAAGCTAGCTACTTCAATACAAATATGTCCAGTGCAAATATTTATATTTATATTATATTATATTTATATTTTATAAAATATTTTACCAGGAAAGATACATTGAGATTTATCTTGTTTTTAATTATATCCTGGAAGGACAGTTTGACATCAGACCCGCAGGACTTTTCTCCATTCAGAGATCCAGACCGTGGAGATACAGAAGTTCTAGGCATCCGAATGGTACAATATTTTTTCTATTCATTTTCTTAGCTTTACATAAGTCAGTTTCAGGTGCCAAAACGTAGCCCCTCTTGAACTATATTAAAGTATCTCCATGTTATTCACCTATTTTTGAGTCCTTAGAACTTTGTTTTGTTGTCTATGATTTGGAGGTGGTGCTCAGGTCGTTTGGCACCAGGTTAGGACTCATTAAAATATATGTTTGCCAGTTCTGCTATTTTCATGCTTTTGATATTCTTTTCCAGATAAAATGGTGGCAGACTCACCTATTTTTGCTAAGCAACAAAGTTATCAAATAGAATATGCTTTGTTTGAGAACAATGGTTTTCTCAAAGATAGAGAAATTCTTACTAGATTAAGTAGACTCTGAGAACAGAGACGTTCTACAATGGTGCAATTTAACTGCTGTGAAACACCCCCAGGCTTTATCAGCAACATATTTTAATACAGAAAGTGTGAAAATGTAGCCAGTAATCAACTTTGAGGTTTGAAATCTCACATTCTTCACTGACACTTCAAACATTACCTAACATTTCGATTAGACGATTTACGCAACTCTGTCACTTTCAAGCTTTTCAGAAAGATAGAATCGTTATGAAAGGCTCTTTTTGACCGTGTAGGAATGAATTTAAAATTACAATGCAATCAAAAGATATACATGAGACAAATGACTAATTACTTTGTCTTATGTAATTGCCACCTTATTGCACATGTACGACATTATCTATATAGGATCCTGCTGTCTTGCTGGATCCTAGATAGACCTCATTTTGGGCTGTTGCACATGTTTGAAAGTGCAGTGGTGATGACGGGTCATAGCAGATTAAGAAGATGGTGGCAGCAAGAAGAGACAACTTAATATAAATTAATCGCTACACTAAGCACTGTATCCACTGGAAATGCAGGATATATTCTGGTTCGTATATGACATTCTATCTATCTAGCCCACTGACAATACTCTATAGTGAACGACAAACAACAATATACCTAGATGATTCAAGAGACACACAAACTCCTTCTTGGTAAATCATGAAGACCTTTATTCTAGTTCATAGACAGAATACATAGCAGTTCTCCAAATAACACATAGACAACATTGACCCACCAGGGACATGAGAGGTCCAGGGGAAAAGTAAACTAATTATAACATGGTGAATCTCAAACAATTGAAAGCCTAATTTAAAACAAATAATTCAAGTAGCGTTACACCAGACTACAGGTAATGAGTTTTAAAATATTAAATGCTAATTAACAGAAGACATCAGGTACAAATAATTCCAGAGGAGGGGGTAAATCCAATTAACAGACCCCAACACAACTCCCTAATTGTGTTCAGAGGACACTGTCAACCATTGTCCCTGATTTATTTACTGTAACACAATGTAATCCTCCAGAGCTGCTTTATCTTTAGAATTATGATTTGTACATAAAGAAATAGGGGAACATACCGGTAGTTATGGTCCCAGGCATCATTTGCAAAAAATGGACAACATAGTCCTGACATGATGACAGACCAGTAACAGAACCATTGATCTTACAGATTAGGTATTTAAATTAGTTACATAGTTACATAGCTGAAAAGAGACTTGCGTCCATCAAGTTCAGCCTTCCTCACAAATGTTGTTGCTGTTGATCCAAAAGAAGGCAAAAAACCTGGTCTGAAGCGCTTCCAATTTTGCCACAAACTAGGAAAAAATTCCTTCTTGACCCCAAAATAGCAGTCAGATGTCTCCTTGGATCAAGCAGCTATTACCCACTAATTAGAAATTATATCCCTGTATGTTATGTTTTTGTAAGTATTTATCCAATTTCAGTTTAAACATCTGTATGGACTCTGACAAAACCACCTCTTCAGGCAGAGAATTCCATATCCTTATTGTTCTTACTGTAAAAAAAACTTTTCTTTGCCTTAGATGAAATCTCAATTCTTCCAGCCTAAATGTGTGACCGTTGTGTCCTATGTATAGCCCTGTTTATGAATAGATTTCCAGATAAAGGTTTATACTGGCCACGAATATATTTGTATAAAGTTATCATATCCCCTTTCAGGCGCCGTTTTTCCAAACTAAACAGATTTAATTTTTTTAACCTTTCTTCATAACTAAAATGCTCCATTCCTTTTATCAATTTTGTAGCTCGTCTCTGGACCCTCTCCAGTGCCATGATATCCTTCTTTAGAACAGGAGCCCAAAATTGCACAGCATATTCAAGGTGTGGTCTTACCAGCAATTTATAAAGAAGCAAAATTATATTTTCATCCCGAGAATTTATGCCCCTATTTATACATGACAAAATCTTACTGGCCTTAGCAACTGCAGATTGACATTGCATATTGCTGCCTAATTTGTTGTCTCTAACAATTCCCAAATCCTTCTCGTGTGTGGTTATCCCTAATTCACTACCATTTAGTGTGTAAGTTGCTTGTGCATTCTTAACCCCGAAGTGCATAACTTTGCATTTCTCTATGTTAAATTTCATCTACCATTTTAGTGCCCAGTCCCCCAATCTATCCAAATCTCTCTGCAGCAAAGCAATATCCTGCTCACATTGTATTACTTTACAAAGTTTTGTGTCATCTGCAAACACTGATACATGGCTTTCAATGCCTATTTCAAGATCATTTATAAATATGTTAAATAGAAGTGGTCCCAAAACAGAACCCTGAGGGACACCACTTACCACTTTTGTCCAGCCTGAAAATGTACCATTAATTACAACTCGTTGTACTCTATCCTTAAGCCAATGTTCTACCCAAGAACAAGAATATTCATCTAGACCAATTTCTTTTAGTTTGAAGACTAACCTATTGTGAGGAACCGTATCAAATGCATTGGCAAAATCCAAGTAGATCACATCCACTGCAACACCCTGATCTATACTTCTACTTACTTCTTCGTAGAATGCAATTAGGTTAGTTTGACATGACCGATGTTTCATAAAACCATGCTGATTATTGCTAATAACAAAGTTCTTCCCAATGAATTCCTAAATATTATCCCTTAATAGCCCTTCAAATATTTTCCCAGTTACAGAAGTTAAGCTCACAGGTCTATAATTACCAGGCAAGGATTTTGAACCCTTTTTAAATATAGGAACAACATCTGCCTTCCTCCAATCCTCCGGTACAACACCTGAAACAAAAGAATCTTGAAAAATTAAATACAGAGGTTCACTTATTTCCCCACTTAGCTCCTTAAGTACTCGTGGGTGAATACCGTCAGGCCCCGGAGCATTATTTACATTAATTTTCTTTAATAGCTGTAGCACCTTGTCTCAAGTTATCCAATCACAAGTTATTTGCAAGTTTTTTTGCAGCATTCATTTGCATATCTCTTGTCATAGGATCCTCATTAATATATACTGAAGAAAAATAGTTATTTAAAATGTCTGCTTTTTCCTGGTCCTCATTAGCTAACAAACCCAACTCTGTTTCAAGTGAACCTACACTTTAATTTTTTAGTTTTTTTAGAATTGATGTACTTGAAAAAAATTTGGGGGTTGGTTTTGCATTCTTTAGCTATCAATTTCTCATTTTCTAGTTTAGCCACTTTAATTGCCTTTTTGCAAGCGTTATTGGCTTCTTTATATCTTAAATAGGATGCCTTTGATTTGTCTGATTTAAATGCTTTAAATGCCCTTTTCTTATTTTTAATCTCTTGTTTTACTTCTCTACTAAGCCACAGTCTTTGGACATATAGATAAGTTTAATCCTATGATCCTTATACCAAACAGTATGGCAAATAACTAAATTTAGTTTGTTTGTGTATATAATCCCTGGTATATTGATCATGTCTTGGTTCCAAAGTTTACAACATAAATGACCTTAAAACATATGACATGTCACTCATTAAAAAGATTTTAGGTGGTGCAGGGCATGAACGCCAAGATGGATGGACGCACTCTCTTAACAGCTCCGGCAATTAGGGACAAAAAACAAGCACACGGGCATACCCGAAACGTGCCGTTAACCGGTGAAGTCCGGCAATCTGACCATGCGGCCCAGCGTGCCTCGTGGCCTGGGGGAGGCGGCCGATCCCCCTACTTCGTGTCACAGTGTGCAAACAGTGCCTAAGATAGCCTTGCAGCCCCCCCTATGGACCGGTGGGGAATATCCTGGTCCCCGATGGGGAAAGCCATCTACCACCCTCAGTAGACAGCCTTGCAGCAAGGCGCTTCACTAATGAAGGCCCCGTGGCACCCACGACACGGTGAAGACCCAAACCACCATGCGCCCTACCGGACAGCACAGGCTGACCTTGAAACCAGGCTGGATGCAGTATTTGCAGCGTTTTGTTGCAAACTGGCCCACAACAAGCAGCAACACGTAACGCATGAGAGCCAGGGTGCACAGAAACAGAGCCAGCAAACAGCACCCAGAAGGCCTACCAAAATGAAGAACCAGCTCAGACCTAGCCGACCTAACAGGGCTCCCACATAGGCTAAAGCTGGGACACAGGTTGCCGATGAGAATGCAGACTGTTCCTTCGGGCCGAAAGCCCAAAAGGTATTTCCTACCACCCACCATTCAATACACCCAAGGGCGACTCTGAACCCCTGTGGACCCAAGGGCCCCCGGTCCTACCGCATGAAGCAGGGGGACCCATGGATGCAAGACAGCGGCTCCTATCACAGCCCGAGTTTGAGGAGCTGCACGAACACGGCACCTACCCCCACAACGAACTGCCTGTCAGAAATACCTACATTCTTGGTTGGGTCCCAAGGTGGAAGACCAGGGCACCCCGTTTGCCTCAGGGAAGGACTTTCCTCCAAAGCCGCCAAAGCCCCCAGGCAGTGTGGGCTGAAAGATCCTGGAGGACACCTTTGCTGCCTGGCACCACAGAGTTCCATTACTCCCTGACTGCATCAACCACTCTGACTTAGTACCCAGTGGCACACATATCAGATGATTGACAAACTTTATAACCGTTCCTTTGTATATCTTATAGTAACATAAACAGGCGATCCAGCTACTACTCCATATGTTTTTCTATTACTGTCCCTCTTCTGTCTTACCTATTAAGCATGACAAAAAATAAATAAAAACATTTTTAAAAATAGATTCTCAATTAGGTACCAACACATCTAAATATTTCTAAATATATATGTGTGGTAAAAGTGTGTCCTATAACTATATGCATTGATAATATTTATTAAATAGGAAAAAATTATATATATTTTATATTATTCACTAATCACACAGGCATTCTCTGACACAAACATACAGAGTGGTATGGGGCACTCCTGACCTACTCCAAGTAAAGGCACTTGTGCCACAGGTGAGGTTCTAGTTCCCCCGAATGTCTTCAGTGCTGCAGATAAATAAAGTCATTAGCACTCAGCAAATAGAAGTGGAATGATTGTTTTCAGGGCCGTCACCATGGGGCTAAAGCCCCCATGATGCATATTTTGCAAAGATTTAGCTTTAAGACCTTAATTCCCTTCTCACAATATTTATCCTATAAAGTCCACAACATAATTGAGATATTAGATGCATGTGGCATTTTAACAATGAGGACTAATACATTATTCTACAGCATTCTTATTATTTCTTTTTTGCATCAGGCTGTGACGAAATTATTAGCAAACTGAGTGTGATTGTGTGTGTGTGAGGCTGTCTGAGTGTGATTGTGTGTTCAGTTGTTCAGTGTGATTGAATGTAGAATTGGCTGAGTGTGAAGTTAGAGTGTGATTGTGTGTGGGGGGCTGGCTGAATGTCCTTGTATGTAGTTCCTTGTAGTTCCCCCGAATGTCTTCAGTGCTGCAGATAAATAAAGTCATTAGCACTCAGCAAATAGAAGTGGAATGATTGTTTTCAGGGCCGTCACCATGGGGCTAAAGCCCCCATGATGCATATTTTGCAAAGATTTAGCTTTAAGACCTTAATTCCCTTCTCACAATATTTATCCTATAAAGTCCACAACATAATTGAGATATTAGATGCATGTGGCATTTTAACAATGAGGACTAATACATTATTCTACAGCATTCTTATTATTTCTTTTTTGCATCAGGCTGTGACGAAATTATCAGCAAACTGAGTGTGATTGTGTGTGTGTGAGGCTGTCTGAGTGTGATTGTGTGTTCAGTTGTTCAGTGTGATTGAATGTAGAATTGGCTGAGTGTGAAGTTAGAGTGTGATTGTGTGTGGGGGGCTGGCTGAATGTCCTTGTATGTAAGGGCTGGCAGAGTTTGACTTGTGTGTGTTTGTGTGAATGTGTGCTTGTTATTCTTACCACGATACACTATAAATGGCATGATATCATTTAAGAGAAACGAAAGCTTTTATGCAAATAGATAGCCCCTAAATGCAGTCATGGATTTAAGACAAGTTGAAGAGTAATTTCCATATCCTCATATGAATAAACCACAGGAGGTGTGGGGATTCAAGATTTGTTTGCTTTTACTATTTTTCTATTCTTTATTTTTGCTGTGCATCTAAATACAAAGAATCTCTGAATGCCACAGCAACATCCACAAGTGCATTAGTTAGTTAACATTAAAAAAACTAATTGTACGACATACTCTAATGCTTTATAGCAATTGTGTAACTCAACGGTGTGTGGCAATACGAAGCTACAGCACAATTTAATTATATAAAGTGAGAATCAGCCTAGGCAAACATGTCTACTTGCATAACATAGGTAAAAAAACTTAGTTACAGAAGAAATGCTAGACATTATGAGTACTATATAATTAAAGATGCTAAATAACACGCTGATTTAACTTGCAGAAAATAAAACCCCTGGAGGTGGGAAATTACTGTGTCACTGTACCACATTAGTTAGATTAAGAAAAAAAAAATTAGTCGTATGGCATTTAAAGCACATAAGACGGCGTCCGCCAACATCAGGTAGAGGCGTATCTTAGGCAGTAGGCCTGTAATTAAGATCAGGAAAAGTGGGGGGATGGGTCTGCGCCAGTGTGCACAATAAATAGTAATATTAAGTCCAGTGGGATCTATATTGTCGTATCCAAGGGTCTACTTCAGCGATATCCAGAAGGTGTTGGTGGTGTGAAGAGTAATCCAAATATGTGAAAAATAGAAGAGATCTTACTTACAATTGGCAGAGCTTAATCCAGCTCTGGTGTGAATGGCTTACAGCGGTATTATCCCCGCTTGCAGGATATGCGGCAAGTGTCCTCTTCTTTGTAGTGGCAGGTAACCAAGTTGGAGAATAAAAATAGAGACAGTAATGGTGCAGTATGTTCCACACGTATGGTAAAAATGATAAAATATAGTAGATACACTCACATTCGGTAGAGCTTAGACTAGCTCTAGTTGATTAGGCGTACAGCGGTATTATTACAGAGGGCTTTATTTATTTTATTTTATTATTATTTTTATAAACAAACATGCAGTTTATTTTTAAGAGATACAGTTTATCTTACAACTTTCCCCTTTCCCTTAGCCCAATAGAGGACTTTATACACATGTAGTTTACTCTATAACTACAAGTCCCAGGGATCCGTGCGGCCGGAAGTGACGTCACGCTTCCGCCGTGCGTCACATGGCCCCTTCTAGCACTCCCTCTATCCACCTCCCCTTCCTCTCCCCAGCCCAATGTGGGTCCTTATTCAGTTTCTAGGCATGCAGCCTATTTCTAAACTACATGCCCCATGATACCGCCGACCGGAAGTGACGTCACGCTTATGACGCGCGTCACGTGGTCTGGCCTATAATACAAATATTGTTATTAAAAAACGCTTGTTTTTATTCACAAATTACATTATAAGCATCATATTAGTCATATCTATTGAATTTGTAACACTAAAAGCTGTTATGTAAATGCAAATAAGATCTGCTTTACCATTGGTTGTACAATTTTGGCACCAATTTTAAATTAATTTTATTCCTATATAAACTCTAACTAGCCAGGTTGAAATGTTTATTATCCATTGATAAAGCCTCATATTGGCGAAACGCGTTTGGATACTTTTACTGTTTTATATACTGTCAATAAAAAGATTTTGGTTATTTTTATGTTTAAACCATCATCTTTTGTTTCTTATTACCTGGCCTTTTATATAGTATTTTCCTTTTTATACTTATTTTTTATTTCCTGGATACTATACTCCCAAGAATCCTAGGTGGGGATTATACCACCCACGCTGTTACATAGAGCAGTTAGCCTGCCCTATATATTGTGAGTATATTTTATTATTTTATTTATTCACCAAAATTTTATTGAGAGCACTATCGCTGTTTTATCTTCTCTCCGAGCTCCTGAGGTCCAAGTCAAGATCACTCATCTTATATCCCACAAGCGGGGATAATACCGCTGTACGCCTAATCAACTAGAGCTAGTTAAAGCTCTACCGAATGTGAGTGTATCTACTATATTTTATAATTTTTACCATACGTGTGGAACATACTGCACCATTACTGTCTCTACTTTTATTTTTCAACTTGGTTACCTGCCACCACAAAGAAGAGGACACTTGCCGCATATCCTGAAAGCGGGGATAATACCGCTGTAAGCCATACACACCAGAGCTGGGTTAAGCTCTGCCAATTGTAAGTAAGATCTCTTCTATTTTTTACATATTTGGATTATTCTTCACACCATCAACACCTTTTGGATATCACTGAAGTAGACCCTTGGATGCGACAGAATAGATCCCACTGGACTTAATAATACTATTTATTGTGCACATTGGCGCAGACCCATCCCCCCACTTTTCCTGTTTTTACTATCTGATTCCCAGGGACATTAGAGGGATTCCCTGTTTGGGACTGCTGCCTTCCGGATTAGCGCTGACTCTACCCCTTGTTCTGTAATTAAGATCAGCCAACTCCCATTAGTGTCAAGGTTGATACACATCTAGTGAAGTCTTTGTACTGGAAAGTGTGCCCAACCAGCCCCAGGCCCCTATGAGGGCTGGCATCAGTATTCCACAGATTGGATACTCCTGGTGACCAATTCTATCAGGGGATTAAGGTGACGATTACCTTTTTTCGCGGGTAATCTTCTGCCCATGTGGACAATGCAAGGAGGCCAAGCCTCAAGTGGCTCTCGGACTAGGAAGGCGAGCAAAAGATTGATTAGGATTCTTCATTGTTGTATTGCCCAGAGGGATGCCTTTCCATCTCCAGGTGCACATATCTCCTTTCTCCTTCCCGTAGCTAAGGCAGGTTGTTTTCTTCACGTTCTCGAATTGTTATCCAGAAGTTACTAAAGACCTCATCTAGCCGCAACAGGGAGTATTCAGTTGAGCTGCAGTAAGCCCTCTGGGATGAACTCATGGCATCTTCCATCTTGAAATGTTGGAGAGTAGTTAGATTACAACTCTAGGTGAGTCATAAGTACAGCTTAGACAGCTTGAAACAGTCCAGTGGGGACCGAGTTATCCACTACCGGGATAAACTTAAGAGGAAGGAGGTTGGCTGCTTTTACCTAACTCTGTCTCCAGCATGCTGCAGCAGATTTTCTCGGGCTTCCTGTGATGTAAAAACTCAGGAATAATATCTGTTTGCTTGCCCAGGAACCCACGACCTGAGTAGTGCACCTTACTCAATGTGGTAGCTTGATGGCCGGCATTAACACCCCAAAATCGGCCAAATAGAAAGGAGCTCATGCACCCTGTGTTTAGAAAGCCTACGTGTCAGGCTCCTCCCCTCGTTGTTGCTTATTTTATGCCAATAAATTATTTTAAGACCCATCCAAGTAATGTTCTGTGTTAAAAGTAAGGGTCCATCTTGCACTTAAGGTGCTTTTAGGTGCTTTAAGTGTGAACAGAAGTCACTCAAATCACTTTCAGCAAATGTAAATATACACTGAAGTCATTCCCAAAAAAAAACCCATCAAAGACCCATGGCTCACTTATGCCTTCCTTAACTAATTGGAAGCCTAGACTTATATAAGAGCCACGGTTAATTTATTAATAAAGAATTTTGCATCAAACCAAAAGATAATTGGGGGTGTATAGCCCTGTGATTTTCCATGGATTGACAAGATGAGAGAGAAATTCTGGTTTTGAGTTTATTCTCATCTCTAGTGAGTTTATTGTGACATCTAGGAAGCTGAAAGGGTCCAATTGTGGTCCTATCCCTCAAATTCTTGAAACTAAACAGACTCCGTCTTTCCAGGATTGCTTGAGCTTAGAGCATGTCTACCATGCATGTATAAATCAACAAAATCAAGATCATCGTCATTTCAAACGTTTGCAATTAGACAACTTGCTCATCGCATAGAGCTTTAGAACTTACCTGGTGGGAGATGCCATCTAAGTAGAGTCCTTATGATTTTCATGTTTAGAGGAATTTAGATGTAATTTGGCAAATATGAAGTTAGAGATATTAGCCCATTGTCTATTTTAAACATTTTACCTAAGTTGTTACGTAATCTAAATAAGATTGTGAAAATTATTAAACAATAAGTGATAATTGAAGGATTTCTGACCCAACTGAATGCGTGCTTCTGAACATACATATTCAAAGCATGTGAGCATTGATGTGCTCCCCTCTACCTGTAATTTATGGAGTTGGAGAGTAAGTTAGTTATGGAGTTGGATAGATCAAAAATCACATGAGAAAAGGATACTGGAGCCTAGAATGTCTCAAATTTGGAATGTTTTCTTCTCAAGAGATAAGATTTGCATAAATGTTGTTCTGGTTTCTACGTGTCTTCGGTGGTATTTGGCTGAGCCCAATAATAATGCAGGTTCTCTAGTGTGAACTGTGAAGAAGTCAGGTTGTGTTTTAGTGCTCTCTTGTTCTGCAGGGAACTCGAGGTTGCTAAGTAAAATGTAAATTCATGCCAAGTTCAGTTATGTTGCTATGGACTTTAGCTAAGAAGATTTTGAACAAAATACATATGTTTACTTGGTGTTATAAACAAGCTATGACATTTTCCTTAAGTACATCGTTACAATGGCCTGCAGCATTTTTTTTGTAGCGTTGACCTGTTTTATCGTTCCTAAATTGCCTAGCTGAAAAGCCCTTATGCATGACTTTACTCTTTTTCTCTTACTAACAAATATCTCTACGGTATGGAAATGTATTGTACTGTTATTTAGCATTGCATTCAGAGTCAGTCTGTGAATGAATGCTAGTGACAAATGAGACATGTTGGTGTACATTATATTGCAAACCTGTAGTGGCAGATTATCATCCCACGCAATACCAACCCGGAACAACAGTATTGTTCCTTTTAAAGCAAAAAGCACATATGGCACTGTTGCATAGAGTACATAGAAAATTACATTAGAATGTTTATAAGCAAAAGTAAAAATTTTGCTTAAAATTACTTATTTTAAAAAAAAAATTAATATAGATGTGACAGTACAGCCTCGGGTCTCTGCTACGGAAGGTGTAATAGGTCAGGCACCTTATTGTCTGTTGGCTCTTTTCGCTAACCTGCGTAGCTATATTAAGACCTGGTATTTTGAGTCGTGTATCCACCAGCAATGCAGGATTTACATACTGCACTGATAGCTCTGGTTCATATAGGACATTATATCTATCTAGTCCACTGACAATTCTCTATGAGTAACTACTCTATAATGGACGACAAACAGCAATATACCTGGATGCTACAAGAGACACACAAGTTCCTTCTAGATAAATCACGAATACACGTTATACACATAGAGTATATAGCAGTTCTCTAAATAACACATAAACAACCGTGACCAATCAGGGACATGAAAGGCCCAGGGAAAATTAAAGGGACACTATAGGCAGCGAGACCACTTCATCTCATTGAAGTGGTCTGGGTGCAGTGTCCCTGTCCCACTCAGTCCTGCAATGTAAATCATTGCAGTTTAAAAAAAAAACACAAAAAAAAACCTGTAATGGTTACTTTGCAGCTCTTAGATTGCCTCTAGTGACTGCCTATCACAAAACCACAAGAGCTACTTCTGGGATTCTAAAGGACTCTGAGTCACTTAAATGATTCTGGACGTCCTAATGCTCATACTTTAATTAACAGAAGACATCAGGTACAGGTAATTCCAGACAGAGGGGGAAACAATAAATCCAATTAACCCCTTAAGGACACATGACATGTGTGACATGTCATGATTCCCTTTTATTCCAGAAGTTTGGTCCTTAAGGGGTTAACAGACCCCACTTAGTCTCCCTAATTGTGTACAGAGGATGTGCCTGCACTGCAGGGGATAAATCATGGACCATTGTCCCTGCTTCATTTACTGTGACACAATGCAATCCTGCAGAGTCTGCTTTACATTTAGAATTATGCTGTGTACATAAAGCAATAGGGTAACACGTTTATGGTCCCTGGCATCTTTGGCAAAACAAGGGACAACATAGGCCTGACATGATGACAGACCACTAACAGTACCATATCATTCACAATAGACATCCCTTCTCTAGTGTTAACCAGGTTATACAGAAATTTCTTCAAAAAATAATATAACAAGCTAAACCAAACAAATAAAGTATGAAATGGAAATTCGATTTCCAGACCCATTTCTTTATTTCTATATATGTATGTTGTAGTTACAATGCATGTAGCTATGCATGAAGGTATGTATGTATCTATACACTACCTGCCCACTACCTTCCTATCTATCCATCTATATAAAACATTTAATTACATACAGTACATAAACTGCTGAATCTGACTTAGTACCATCCTCTATGGTGAAACACACAGGACGTGCCAGCCTCACACCAATAACTGACATGCTGTGTCACTTGAAGAAAAGTGGGTGGAGAAAAATGCCAAAAGGAGGATCCAGCTTCTACCCCAGCAAATTGGGCAGCCCGGGTCTGGTGACATTATGCCAGACGCCTATAACAGTGCCTGGGACATGCCGATTTGCTTGTCATTCAGCCAGTGCCGGTGTCTGCACAGCAGGAAAAAGGCTCGCAGTTGTTTTGATGGCGGTGACGAGGCGATCGAAGATCAAGCGAATGCTTTGATAATCCCACGCTGGGCTCCACCCCCTGCCTAATAAATTGCTCACCGAGGACGATCGAATTCTGAGCAACATGAAGAGAGTCCAGTAGTGGTGCCAATGAGTGGAAGGGCTCGGGTAAACATTTTCTGTATCCCAGGGTAACGTTCCATTAATCTGCTGGCGGCACAGCGCAGCCATGTTGGACTACGACCAGGCTACCTCCTTCCTGGGAGAATGGGGTCCTTTCCAGTACGTTATCTTCTTCATGCTAAGTGCCAGTATCATCCCCAATGGCTTCAATGGCATGTCTGTAATGTTCTTGGCCGCCACCCCCGACCATCACTGCCTGGTCCCCGACACCGCCAACCTGAGCCAGGCTTGGAGCAATGTGAGCATCCCCTGGGAGCTGCACAATGGGGAGCAGGTGCTGAGTAAATGCAGGAGGTACAGGCTGGACACCCTGAGTGAGTACTCGGCTCAGGGCTTGCTCCCTGGGAGGGATGTCAATGTGAGTGGCATAGAGCAGGAGAAGTGTCTGGATGGATGGACCTACAGCAAAGAGCTTTATCTCTCCACCATCATAACAGAGGTGAGTGCATGAGGTCAGCTCCTGTGCCAGTAAGATATCTCTCTGTGAATACACCCTATTATACATATCAGCTACAACAGTGTCATTTGTGGCTGTTGGAAATAGATAGTGTTGAAGTTGTGAGGGGCTGTTAACATCATTATGGTGACCGATCCTTCTATAGATAGTTTTTTTTTAGTTTTTTTTTTAAGAGGAATAGGTTGTGTAACTCAGAACCTTGGTGTTTCATAACGTTGCTATAAGCAAAGATGCATATCCTTGAATGACAGAATCACTAGTTAAATGGCCACATGGAAATGTGCATTCCATACTGGCAGATATGGGTAGAACTTTAACCCCTTACGTTCTTGGCAGTTGTCCAAGTTCCGAACCAAAACAAAACCTCGAATTTGAGCGATGTGTTTATTCAATCATAATTTACTTCTTAGATATTAAGTGCATCCAGAGGTATTATATATCACATTGTTATGGACAAAAAAATGATTACTTTTTACATCAAATATGTATATGTGAAATGTAAGTTATCTAAATAAGTGTGAGAAATTAAGAATTGTATTTGTTTCTAAGTTCAACATGGTATTTTACTGTGAATATGATTTATTGTAATAAAACACACATATTTGTATTCTGTGGTGTTCCAGGTTTGCTGAGTTATCTGTAAGTTATAGGGCTAAATATGAGCCCCACAGGGTTATTCACTAAAGTGAGAATTCAAAGTGAATTCTAAATGTAAGGGTAAACGAAACAAAGTAAAAAAATTCTCTAAGTTATACTTTACGTTCAGGTACTCTGGCCTTACATTTGAAATTTACTTTGTATTCTCTCTAGTAAATAACCCTGGCAGTCTTTATGCTCCACATGGAAATTTGACAAATTGATTTTCTGGGCCTAAGTCGCCATTGAGGCAGTAATGCAGCCCAGGAAATAAAATTAACCCCATAATGGTACAACATTTGAAAAAGTAAACTGACCATGATATTTCAAAATGACCAATATCCAACAAAACCTGGCCACATTTATTATTCATATTTTTTTTCCCACACACTGCATTTTTTCTGATTACATCATCATCCATACATAATTTACTTATATAAAATACGTATATTTGTGTTCAGAGATGTCCCTGAAATACAACAGTACCCCCAATGTAGGACCTGCGCAACCATTAGGCAGCACTTATGTTGCACTAGCAGGATGGGAGCACACTGCACATTGCTCACCTTCCTGCCCGTCATACTATGTAGTGTGAGTAAGCAGACCCAGGTAGAGGATCTTCTGTATATTTTACCCGGTCTGATAGGAAGTGCTCACTAACCGCAACGAGCAGCTTTCTTTTGGACCAGGTAGAAGATACAGAAGAACCTCCACACTACATGGAGATAAGCAGAGTCAAAGAGGAAAGAGACCATATTGGAGGGGGTGAGTGGAAGAGTCTACAAAAGGAGGGGGTGTATCTCTTTTTCCCATTTCTCAGCCCAGGGGAAGGCTGGCAGCTTTAGGCCTAGGAGGGCAAATCCAGTCAAGTGGCCCATTGCACCACCGTATCAGCTCACCATCCATGCCCACCTTTTCCTCGTTTTATAACGGATATTGATGTTATGCTAATAAGTAGCTCTTTGCCATACCCGCTCCTTCACAGCTCTGACTTTCAATGTTGTCAGAGCGCAGGCTGAGAATCTCTGAGCCTATATTCTGACTCACTAACTGAGCGCCGGAACCA